GTGACTCAGATGAGGAACTTGAACCTGCACCTGATAGTGAACCTTTCTAGTGAATTAGCAATAATTTTATGTTATCGTATTGTTTTCATATCGTATTTTTTTTTTAAATAAAAAGAAAAGAAAAGAGAGATATATTTATTGTGCAATGCCTCCTTATTTTCATACGTTTATCAATTCAGGTGGAGTTTATGAGATTCTTAGAATTTGAAAAATATAAAAACAATAATTATTTTACCATCATAAAAAGGGAGAGATTGTTAAGAGACTTGTTATTTGCATGATTTATCTTCTTGTAACTTGTATAGTTTTGATGATTCCAAATATTATTATTTTAAGATTTGTTTTCTCCTAACACATTTTGAAAAAATTATTTTTGCTCTTGTGTGGACTAACATTTCAGGATAATCAAACTCCAGACTAATGAAGACTTCAAATCATAATTCAATATGAGATAATTTGTAAATTGAAGTTTATAATTTTTATTGTAATTGAGTTTGAGAAAATATGATTTTTAATTGAATAAGCTTAACACACACACATGGGGAGATCTTTAAAAATCACACTGATCGTATGGAATGATCAAGTCAGTTAATCCCCTCGGAAGAGCAATGGAACGAACAGGAAGTGAGAAAATTTTTTCTAAGTCTTGATCGTTCAGACGAATTTCTCAATTCATCCCGTGAAGATCTGCTCTGGATTCTCACTTTGTGCTGAATAGTCCAAATGATTCATCCTGTTCGTGAAACAGGATGAAATGCTATCTGGAAAATTTTCGTCCAGACAAAATACTATTCGTCCCATGACGAAATGCTCTCTAGAAAATTTTTGTCCATACGAGCTCCTATTAGTCCCAGGATGAAATGCTCTCTGGAAAATTTTTGTCCAGACGAAATATTATTCATCCCAGGACGAAATGCTCTCTAGAAAATTTTCATCCAGACGAACTCCCATTCGTCCAAGGATGAAATGGTCTGTCTTTTGAAATTTTGGTAATGTCCTGCAGTTTCTCGAAACCAATCCATAAAATAATTGTTCGTATCGAACGAACATAGATCGTACGGGACGATGATCAGGTACGAAGTCAGTTCGTACCTATATACATTGGGTTCATATGCAACTGATTTAAGTAGATTCGTACGGGACGAT